CGAACACTTCGGTTCCAAGCAAGGGAGGGGACTGGCCTTGAGCATGAAATACTTCACACGACGTTTCTCACCATTCCCGTTTTTGCAGTATGCCTTCACTCTTCAGTGACACTTCTTTCGAAAGGATGGTTAACTATCACTTCACAATCCCTACATCCCATAGGCAGCCCACAAGAAGCTTGCGCCACCCCCTATGTTACTCCTGAGACCACGTGTGGCGGTGTTGTGGCTAGGTAGCAAGCCGGGGTCACCAGTGACGTAATCCAGACACGACAATTGACAACTTGAAGGGACCGTCAACATTCTACATCGTATGTATCATCCACATATCGCCGTCATCAACAAGCCTTGCTACCCACGAAGTCTTCAATATCCCTCGCAAACCTGAGTTTTTGTGGTGCAATTAATGTCCCCGTTGCTAAGATGTTAGAATACTTCACATACAAGAAGGTGAAGAAGCATCGCGAGGAGAAGACTGCCAACAAGCAAATTGAGAAGGGAAAGCAAATCGCTAAGCAGGAAACAACCACCACCACGCCCATTGCTTCCAACTCCGGCTCTGATGGCGTAGCGGCCGCAGGCGCCCCGGTTCTCGACCGTGAGGATGAGGAGTTTCTCGAGCACCTCACCTCGTCCAACGGAAGCATTGGTGCAGACGATGATGACATACCACCACCTCTACCCCCGCGTGTCAAGACGCCCATCATCGAAATCGATAGCGAATCCAGCAGCATATCAGGCCAGAAAGAAGAAGGAAAGGAAAAACAAAAGGAAAAAGAAAAGGATCAAGCCCCACCCGCAAAGAACCGCTTCTCTTTTGTAAAGGCCCTCCCTAGAAGCATCTCCCTGCGCAGAAAACCAGCCACGAGTCATCAACAAGACCACCTCTCCGTTCCCGAGGGGACAAAGCATGGCGACTCGGAGGATGCGAAACTTGTCAGCGTCCTCGACGACCTTGACCTTGTATCCCGCAATAACCGCGCAATTTCCCTGTCGGCTGAATCCGCCTCCTTAGCCCGCTCTTTCACACAAATACTCCGGGACCTCGTGAACGGCGTGCCAACTGCCTACGGCGACCTCACGAGCCTCCTAGACAACAGCGACGGCATCCTCGCCCGCAACTACGAGAGGTTACCCCGCAGCCTCAAAAAGCTCGTGGCTCAGCTGCCCGAGAAGCTGACGTCGACGCTGGCGCCGGAGCTCCTGGCCGTCGCAGCTGAGGCGCATGGAATTGAGGCCGAGGAGAAGGGCGTGCAGGACACCGCCAAGCGGCTCTTCACGCCCGCCAACTTGCGTGACCTCGTGACGAAGCCCGGGGCCCTCGTTAGCTTATTGAAGGGCATTATGAATGCCCTCAAGACCCGCTTCCCCGCATTCGTGGGCACGAATGTCCTTTGGAGCCTGGCGGTTTTCCTACTACTTTCTATGCTCTGGTATTGTCATAAGCGCGGGCGCGAGGTGCGGCTGGAGCGTGAGGCCCGGGCTAAGGCCGAGGCGGAAGGGATGGAGGTTGGCGAGACGAGCACTGCCGGAGCTGAGGGTGCGCTGGATCACCTACAAGCATCTGGAATTGACAGAAATACGCCATCATGATGGCGATAATAGCTGCGAACCTCCTATGTGGTGGTCGTTTCGGCCACAGTCCACGAATTGACTGGAGAAGATGAGATGCTAGTGCTGCGACGAGAATAATAATGCGCTCAATGGCACAACGATGCGATGGCGACGAGATAACTGAACTTTTGTTATGATTGATTGATGACATTATTGACTTGGTAATCAGGTTCACGGGTCTGGGTTCTATGAGTGTGATGAATGGGTTTCATTTGCATCATGTCCTGACGAGAAGGGCTAGGAGAGTAGAGTGAGTTGGCGCGCCGCGTTCACTCATTACTCATAATTTGTATTTGTAGATAGACTATCGGGGCTTTTGGGGGGAGGGGGGGGGATTCACGACGGACAGCAATATGAGTATGATGCCGTATGGCATTTATGAGTGATGCCGATTGCATGGGTACTTATTTATCTGGTGCGTGAGACGTACTGAATTTCTTCATGGCTTCTCTTTGAGTTCATGACGTTGCTCAAGTACGTGGGTAGTCGAAAGTTTTACTGGTTGGGAGAGTAAGTTATGGGATGGAGTAAGGAGTCTCGGTTTGACCGTTTTAATAGGTTCAACATATCGTAATGCCTTTACGTATCTACGACCCCAGGTAGACACAACAATGGGGCTCTGTCTAATTATATGGCATTCATCTTGTTTGAGTGGTGATTAAAAAGGCTGAAGCCATTGTTAGGTGTGTTTGACTAGTAATCATCCTGCACCAGCTCTTTGATCTCCTCACTCGCCGGCGCGATGCCGACGGGTTCTGCCTTTTCGTCACGCCCACCCGTGCGATCGAGGACACGGGCGCCGTCCTGCATCCAAAAGTCGACCTCATCGACAACATCAGCGACGATATCCTCCACAATCTGCTCGTCGTAGCGCTCGGCCACGGCCCGGATGCCTTCCAGCTGCTTTTTCTGGGGCGTGCCCACGTGCACTGTATTATCATCAACGTCCATCATCTCCGGATCGTTCTCGGGGGCAAGATAGCCAGGCGGCGGGTACCAGAAGTTGGGTCCAAAGTTGGTCTCGACTGCGCCGCCCCGGAATACGCTAACGGCTGGGTAGTAGCCGAGCATTCCGTCGTCGTTGCCTTCCCGTGCACCAACTTGGGCCTGTGGCTTTGAAGCTGGAGGAAGGAAGGCAAGAAGGTCGGTAAACGGGGTGCCCATCAACACCCCGTTCTTATATACCTTGATGTAAGAATTCGGTAATGTCCGCAGAGCAGGAACTGGATGGTGGGGATTTGGTCTATCTCCTTGCCTGCTGCCTGCTTGATTGGAGGCAGCCATAGGCGATGGGTTCATCAGGTCTTCCAGCTCCTTGGTCGTATGATAATCAATCTTCTCAAAGTAAATGTGCGCCTTGAATCGAATTGGTATCCGATCCCGGATGATGTTGGCGGCTTCCATTACGGGCTCTTCCTCTTCATTAAGATCAACAGCCGGATTATAGTGCCCTTGGACAATCTTCCTGTGCAGGTGCTCCGATGGCAGTCGAATCTCTATCCCTATCACATCGCCTTCCCTTATATCTTCACCGGGCGGGAAGAAATCCTTAGGTCTGGACATATGTACCTTCTGGCCGGAGACGTCTCGAAACCCGTAGCTATAGGCATCAAATCCTACGGGCGCATCTAACGAGGCTTCTCGTCTAGCCATACCAATGCGCACGTGGCCACGCGACTCCGGTTGGCCGCCATCCTTCGTGCCGTTCCTCGCCGAGCCGCCGCCTTTCAGAATTCCTCTGGTAATCTTACATTCCCAGTACCACGTTCCCTCTCGCACAGCAACATTCGCCCTGGCCATCCGGAAGCCCTTGTCCGTGCTGATATGACGACCTGACTGGTCCAAGAACATGTGCGTGGAGGCGTCTTCGAAGCTAATATGGGGACCGTAAGGCTCAGGTTCGGTCTGGCGGTAGTAGAAAGAAGAGGGAAAGGCAGGGTCGGCGATGCAGTGTAGGTAGTGATAGTTCTTCTTGTTGTAGACACTGGGATTTGGGTTAGTAGATTGCCAAGACAGTCTCATCATAACCAGCATAGTATATCAGCTCACTGTTCTGATGTTTCATAGAAGGCTATAGTAGAGCCGTCGGGGAAATGAAGGTCATGATGAAATGTGAAGACGGGTCCCCTTGCAGGATCGAAGTCGGAGGGTTTCGGAGGGGCCAATTTGTAGCGCAAGGGTGAAGATTCGCTGGCGACCGGTTCATACCCCTTCAATCTGGGATCGGGCGTCGCTCTCAAGCTGTCTAGACCACCAGAGCCCGCGCCGGAAAGGCCACCGCCACCATTCGCCTTGGACTCGCGTTTTTTGACCGATTCCTTCTTTGTGCGCGCGGGCTTCTCACGCGCGATGGCGGTCAGATCATCATGAGGCTGGGACTTAGTGAGTAATTTCGGCTCGGAAGGTGTGTTTAGGCTTGCGTTTGCGATTGCGTTTGTGTTCGAGCTGGGGTTCAGATTGGCATTGGGATTGGGGTTCAGCGGCGACGGTATGGGCGGAGTGTAGTCGTCTTCGGGGGCCCGCTTTTGGGGAATGTGGGATATTGGAAGTATCGGGACGGGTACGGGCGTTATCTGCCTCTTCGGCAAGTCGCCATTGGCGGCCATAATAGCATGCGATGTTGGTGTTGGTTACGTAGGCGGCTGATAGTGATGATGGATAGGCAGCTCAGGCGATTGAATCGATCGCTGGTTAATACGACCTAATAACACGGTCTCGAGATAGACGCGCATATAATCTTTGGTCTTTGTCTTATTCGATGGCCCAGAGGATGGATAGATTGGAATTGAAAATAGACTCAAGATGGTCGATGTGGGTTGGTTTAGGGATGTTGGCTCCGGTTTGATGATCAATTACTCCGTTGAAGTATGAGGTAGGTGGGTAGGTAGGTAGACCTCCCTTCGTTCCCATAAAAGACAAGTTGGACGCGACGTACTTGGAAAGCCTCAGCATACGGAGACTCTAACCTCATCAAGGTAGTTACATCATTAGTTAGCGCGTTTGCGACGAGAACCTTTGCGAGCTGTTATCTGAGCTTATCTACCTAGTACCCATGCGTATCCGCTCTGGAGATAGGTTACAGGTATGATCAGCGATCCCTACCTAGGTAGGTTATCGAGCTAACTTACCTAAAACTAAGGTTAGCTTTGAGCCCCGCCCCCGCCCCCGCCATTGCGAAAACGGCGACCATGTAACCTAACCTGGGTATTTGTTTCAACACGTTCGAACGCTCAAGGTTGATTTTAAACGGAAATATCAAGCAACGCACAGAATACGAAGTATATGTATGCTATCTATAGTTTCCGCTACAGCTTGAGCACCTCAGAAGGGGGACAGATGAGTCCCAAAAAAAAAAAAAAAAAAAAGAGAAAAGAAATAAAAAAAAACGGTCAGCACGGGACTCGAACCCGCAACCCTAGACTAGACCTACTGTCCGCACACGGAGTGACCCAACGTACGGAGTAATAGGAGGTCTACATGCTACCATTGCACCAACCGACCAGCCAATGTTGAGTGGCCACAATCGTTCCATACAAGAAGTCCGACGCCTGCATGCCGACTTCATATACCTTACTCGCACGTTGGTAACCCTAATCCTACACCGGACTCCGCCACGGAGACACCTGGGTTACATCATAGGCCATCACTTTCATACAAACAGGAACTATTTTGCAACCATACGAGACAACGTTTCTTTCATTTTTTTCTCGTCTGACCTAATAATGGTGGGGGCAGTAGCCACAACTTTTAAACTCAAAAAACTTTCCTTGCCTCGACCCCCGAATACTCGCTCGGACAGTTGCCGCCGTCCCCACTAACCGGAAGACAGCCGTAGGTATCCATAACGGCCCGTCGTCGCCTTGTTGTCACCTCACGGGCCCACCCGCCTACGCCGCCGTCGTTCCGGAAGGAGCGGCAGAAGGAGTAGGGGTAATGGTAGGCAACGGTTTGCCATCATCACACTGGGCGTCGATGAAGCAATGGCACAACGCTTCGCACTGGGCACACAGGGCCGGGTCGACGGGATTTGAAGCATCGACCTCCGCGAAGCCGCAGGCCGATGACTCGCGCCGGCAGTAGATACAGCCGCCGCACGACTGCAGTGACAGGTCGAGCGGCGCCGGGCAGCCTTGATTGCAGTAGAGGTTGCAGTTCTCGCATGACGGGTCGCAGGAGGGGAAAGCTTCTGCTGTTGCGAGGGCTAACGTGGCGAATAGGAAGAATGAACGCATCTTTTTGAGCGGTTGGGTCTGCGCTTGGGAATGAGACTTGGGTGTCTTGGATTGAGATGGTACTGTATGTGTCGCTTTGTTTCTTCGTATCGTGGATCCGTCAGTGGCTTGATAACGTAGAGGTGAGGTGAGCGAGGAGCGAATCTGAAGGGGTTGAGTTAAACTTTACTTATACTTAACTGGCTCACTCAATCTCTAACCCCGGATCCTACCTGGACCCTGGATATAGTATCATGGGCTTTGAGAACCAGACGTCCTCAAGCTCCGTTGGACTTCGGAGATTTCAGGCAGGTCGGAACCCGATACTACGGTAGGTAGAGAATATGTAGACCTAGATGTGCCCAGGGCATACTCCGATATGACCTCGTATTTCATGTAGCTAGTGTAGTCCACCGTAAGCACTCTGACACGCATACCAGCTGTGTGATGTAATTACATGGGGGGGGCCTACGGTCTGCCTAATTATCGCGTGCTGCCGTAATGATGCTTTGCATAGGGAGCAGTAAGCATAACTTGACCGCTCAAGTAGGTAAGCCCTGGCTTTCGAGTAAAACACGAGATTACAACGGAGTAGATAGATACATGTTCCTTGTCGATCGCTCCTTTACTCCGACTCGTAGGTATTGTAGCTAATTAGAACTTCGGCCACCCTCCCTACCAAGACGCCGTTCTGGTCCGAGGATCACGGCTCGCGCAAATTTCGGGGGCTACTCTTCCGGCTTCATTGTCGCCGTCTAGGTGGTTAGCTGAGTCCACGATCCTATACTATAATATAGACTCTGTTCGCTCAGTCAATCAATCAAGTGCATTATACACCGTTTCTACAAGTCTCACGAGGGAAAATCAAGTGTAGGCTCAATGTGTGGCAGGCTATGAATGGACTACGTGAAGACCTAATTCTGTTCCTCTGTGGAGGCTGCATAGTTACATCGAGAAACCTTCTTCTGGATAGCTGGTACCGTTAACAGTCAACGGCATCCATGAGGAAAACCTATGAAACCTTTGTTCCCTTCGTGGAGAGGGCTGCATTGTGCTATCATTCAGCTAGACGTAATTGTTTGGCAAACGGAAACAGACGTGCTGTTGTTCCAATAGCTTCGTTCAGCTAGTGGTACCCATAGCATGATGGCAATCTTATGCAAACGAAACACTGGTATTAGTCGGCGGTACTCGGCGGCAGAGACGTTGATGTGGTGAAGACCAAGCCAGACTAATACGAGGTGATTAGGAGACATAACCATTAGGGCGCAAGGGGTCCATCTTCCTGCAGTAAGCGAGCAAGCAACAAGAGACCTGTGGCATGTCTATGCACACACTCTCAAAGGGGGACGCCGTTCTCCATGATCTTCCGACCCTTGCTGTCGTAAGTAGTAACGCTGAAGGCTTCGTAGTCATCATCGTCTTCGAGGTCCTCGTCATCCAGATTAATACCAGCGAGGACGCCCTGTCCAACCTTAGGCCAACCAGGCGGGACGGAATCAACCGAAGATTCACGATCCTTCTTCGCGTGGTCATCTGACGCATCAGGGGTCGAGACCAAGCTAGGGTGAAAGTTGGCTGGGCCACGAACCTTTGCATTCGCCTTTTGGGCGATGCCGGACGATGCCGGGCCTGCGCGTGTGCCCTGCGCAACCCGCTTGGCAGATGCACCCGACTCTTGGCCAGGGAAGATAGGCAGTTCCGGGTGTAGCTCCGTGGAGTACATAACGATGTTGACAAGTTGGGCATGGGGGAGGTCGGTGAGGTAGTCACGCTTCTGCAACTAGAATTAGCAAACTCGTATAATAGTTAATTTGACGTGAAGGCGAAGCCGACTGACCTGCGCGGCGCTCTTCGATCCCCAGCTGACACCCTTATACTCCTCAAGAGTCTTCTTTCTGGCCAGGGCCTTCTCGCGTTTGCCTGAACAATGGCCACAGAACCACGAACGACCCTCGTCGCTAACGAATTCGTCCGGGATGTACGGTTCGTGGCACATCTGATGCCAGCAATTATTGCAGCCGTCGCAGAAGACGATCTGGTTCTTGTTGATACCGCGGCTTCGGGTGCAAACCTTGCATAGGACCTGTTCGACATCGCGCTTGCCATAACACTTCCGCTTGTGAGAGCCCGAAGCATCGGCAGGTTTGAACGGAGTCGGCTTCTGAACTTGTCGGCCTGACTTGGTCATGGTGGCTGTCATTTGAGTTTTCGATCCCTCAAGATCACTGTCGGATAGCTCGCTCGAGCTGGTAGGTGCGTCGTCGTCATCCTTTCCTCTCTTGCGCTTGTGGTCGCGAGTCGATTTTCCCTTCGCCTTAGATGAAGCGGGCTTGGAAGGCGATGACTTGGCTTGAGCAGAACTAGCTGCCGCAGAGGCGGATGGCTGTGGGCGAGGATGAGACGAGCCGCCCTTCGACGTAGGAAGGGCAACGGTGGCGTAGCGCCGTCTGGCTGTGAGTGGCATAGGCATGGTCAATGACGTGTTCATAGACAGGATGAGACGTCTCTTGGCGTCCTCGAAAGCGGACTTCTCTATGCTTCTAGCAATAGAAGTGACAGACGACAAAGCAGCCGAAAGACTGCCAGGGGTACCGTCGATGCGAGAAATAATCAATTGTGTGGCAGGGGTGAACTGTGGGACATAAAGCTGGCTTCCAGTAGGACTTGCGGGGCTTGGCGCGGGACTCGGGGCCATGTTTTGAGGCATCGGCGATAGACCCGGCTCTGTACTCGGAGCGGGAGCGGGAGCAGGAACCGCTGGTAGGGCTGGCATAGCAGGTGCAGCATTTGTCGCCGAAACATTGTCCAGACTGGACCCTACATCAGTCGGCGACTTGGTATCCATTATGTCTTTGTAAAATGGGCGACGTGCTGGACTGGCGTGCCAGAATATCGAACTTGGTGGTAATTATCGATAGGACGCGGATGGATGTTCGATTGACCCATAAAGTGACCCAGCTGGCTTCGGACTAAGGAGTATGCACTGCGACGTGCAGAAGCAGTCTTATTTCTTGGTATGCAGTCAACAAAAAAGAGTAACGAACGAGGAGGAAATCGATGACTCGGAAGTGCAATGCTCGATCGGGGGTCTTTTCTTTGGTAGGCAGGTAGATTGGAAGTTGATACAGGGTGAATAATAAATGGACAATGGGAAGGAGTTGCGGGTGGAGGTCTTACTCGTGACTTCCACGTGACCTGACCTGACCGGAAGGTACCCGGTGCATATGTACTTCGTACCTGCCCTACTTATATGAATGTAACTCCGAATGTACCTCCGGATGTACCTCTGGATGTACCTCCCATTGATTGATCTTGCCCAGACTTGTGTGCAATGGCCTCATTGTCGCTAACGTTGCTTCACTGTAGGTAGGTAGTCTATTTAATACCTAAGTACCTAAATAATGGCCTAGATAGGGACCTAGATAGGGACCTAATACGTCCAGGCGCCCTATTCACAGCTACAAGTGGGTTCAACCTTGGATATATCCATCCATTCGATGGCCGCATTCACCTGGCCGCATTCACCTGGCCGCCCCAGTCTCTTTCAAGGCAGAAATGGCACTGCTATCTAGGCCAAGAAGACTACCAAGAACCTCATCCGTGTGCTGCCCCAAGGTTGGCGGCGCCGTGCGTACGCCAGGAGTGCTATGACTGTACTTTACTGGAGTGTTGACCACTTTGATAGGGCCGCACTCCCCGTGCTCCAGTTCCACAACCATGTTGCGCGCCTTTGTATGTTCGTGGTTAAGAGCATCTTGGACGTCGTTGACTGCAGCATAGGGCATCCCTTTGCCCTCAAAGACGTCCAGCCACTCTTGTGTTGTCTTCTGGATGCTGATCTTCTCGATTTCCGCCTCAAGTTCAACCCGATTCTTGACCCGTTCCGAGTTTACGTTGTACTTTGGGTCTGTCTTCCACTCTGGCCGGCCTAGGCCATCGCAGAGAATCCCAAATAGTCGATCGTTCCCGCCGCCAAAAAGGACATCGCCATCTTTGGTCTTGAACGACTTATATGGTACAATAGACGCTACACAACATATTAGCTGGGTCTTCAATCTCTCTCTCTCTCAAAAAAAAAAAAAAAAAAAAAAAAAGAGAGGCCTACGGTGTGCCGTGCCCCAGCGTCCGGAATCCCTGTTCCCACTGATGAGACAGCTGCTGGCGATGTTAGCCAGTGTAGCAGTTTGACAATCACTCAACGAAACGTCAATATGCTGGCCGAGCCCAGTCTTTGCCCGTGCCAGTAGCGCAGCCATGATGCTATTGCTTGTGTATAAGCCCGTTGTT